GCGGTTGGCGCAGGATAGAGCAGGGTTTAGAGCTGTTGTGCATAGGGTCGCTATGAGTCGGAAACGACTCGATGGCACATAACAACAACATGTAAAAATGAGAAGAGAATATACTACTATTTTGTAAAAATCCTCAGTAGGAGCTTTTTTCTCTCCCTCATGTTCTGTGGCTTACCTTACTTAGCTTGATTAATATATTAGGAATAGATAGTGGGCCCTCAGAAGAAGATGGGATACAGAGTTTTTATAAAAACTATTTTCCTCCCAATTTTCATTATTATAAAATTCCCAAAGGATTGTAAATGCTTTCTGTAATGGTATTACAGATTCTTGAATTACTCTTTTTTTCTTTTAACATCTATATGCTATTTTAATGTCTTTGTTATTTTTAGGGTGTTGGTATTGGGTATTGGTGAAAGACCCGTACACTTCTATAAATTTCATCATTTCTCCAAGTTCATAGTTTCCGGATTCAAGAATATACACTGTCATTTCAACTGCTAAGGAAGTAATTTTTTCCTTTTTATTCAGGAAAGACAATTTTATATGCCCTTTTGTTTCTCATTCGTACATAAATAGGTGATTTTGTTTCGGCAATTGGACCTTTAAAGAAGAAATCCCGAACAGACCCAAAGGAGTTAAAACAAGAAAAACCAAAACCTAAATTGAAGAATCTGGCGAAAGAAGATGTCTCACAAGAGAAAACCCCTCAAAAAAGGTGAGAGGTAAGACATACAAGTAATATACACCCATAGCTTTATTATTTTAAAACCAATACAAATTTGAACTCATGGTTTAAATACAAGCTTTAATAGTCTTATTTAAGGCATACAGAATAAGAATGTACAATTAATCCTCTCTGACTTTCTTTCTGACTCAGAAAAAAGAAATTTACAAACATCTAAAGAAATACCAGTTTAAATACAAGATAGATTGACAAAGCAGTGTGTTTTGGAATGAATAGACTATGATTCAATCATGAAAAAGAATGATATATTGATCCATGCTACAACATGGATAAATCTTTAAAACGTTACATCTGAAGGCAAGAAGCCAGACACAAAAGGTCAGATACTGTGTGATTCCATTTATGTGAAATGCCCAAAATGATCAATAAACTCACATTCTCTCCGTGCTTTATTCTTTATGTTCTTATTTCTTAAAGACCTTTAATATTTTTTTCTACCTACTTAACATTTTAGACATACTTGAGGATTTACTACAATCTACCTTATATGACATCACTGTTAGTACTTAATATTTTAGACATCCTTGAGGATTTACTACAATTTACCTTATATGACATCACTGTTAGTGTGTTTCTTTCTCTACACTCCTTTTTGAATTACAGGCTCCTTGAGAGTACCCCATATGGTATAGTGCCTTGTACAGAGTAAGTGTTTGATAAAATGTTAAAGACTAGCTGAGGGGATACACACACACATATATACATATATACGTATATACATATATACATATCTATCTATCTATCTATCTATCTCTATCTCTATCTCTAGCTAGCTAGCTAGCTGTATGTTGTTGTTGTTGTTGTTATGTGCCGTCGAGTCGTTTGTGACTCATAGCGACCCTGTGTACAACAGCCCTAAACTC